ATTCACTCTCTTTTATTCCCACTTTGTGTATCCTTATTTTTCAACTTATACAGCAGCTCGCTTATGGTGGAAACTCGGTTCTGTCTAAACGATCTCGAGCCACTGACTGGTTGAAAATTGTATGCTGCCACCAAATACGAATACTGATGCAGTTTTTCTGAAACCATTCAAACTGGCTACCTTCAACGTTCATACATTTATGCAGGTCGGACAGCAGATAGGGCTGGCTATGTCTTTGGAAAGTCTTAATATCGACGTTTGTTATCTATCCGAGACACGTATTCAAGACTCTGGTGGATTGCTACAAATTCGCTCTCCATCTGTCACTTCAAAAAGCTTGTTTTACGTACGCTTATCCGGGGACTCTGTGGCATCTTCGTCTAGTCTTGCTGGCGTTGGTGTCGCACTAAGCACTAGAGCTGAGACAGCACTAGTCGATTGGATCCCCATTAACAGTCGGTTATGTGCTGTTAGATTGGAAAGTTCCATCAAAGTGAGAAGAAATCGGCGTGAGAAACGATGTCTTTTCGTCATCTCCGCCTATGCCCTGACAGATTGCAGCCCGGATGCAATCAAGGATGAATTCTACCACCAGTCAACTGTTCTTGTCCAGAAAGTGCGTTCGACAGATGTTGTAGTACTAGCCGGAGACTTGAATGCTCAGGTCGGGGGTCTAGGCACAGAGGAGAGTCGTTTAGGTGGCCGATGGGGACTCGTTGATCGCATGACACATAACGGGGTCCGTCTAATGCAAATGGGCACAGACCATAACCTGTTTCTGGCTAGCACTAACTTTCGGCACAGTCATCGCCGATGTGCCACCTGGCGTCCTCCCTCTGCATCTCAAGCCTGGACTCAGATTGATCACATCGCGATCAGCTACCGCTGATGTGGTTGTGTACAAGACTGCCGCTCCTTTTGGAGTACCTATCTGGACTCTGACCATGCTTTGGTCTGCGACAATCTTAACTTACTTTTCAGTTGCCAACAAAGTGACCACCACCAAAGGACTGATGTCAGCAAGTTGGTTGTAATTTCATGACGCCATGAAAATGGCAGGTAAAGCCGCGAAACGTCCCTCTTATAAACACTGGGTATTCTTCAGGCTACTTACAACTCATCGAAGCCCGTCGGTCTACTCCGGGTGATCGTGAGTGTGACCACAAAAGAAGGATGTCACGTAATGAAATCGGGCAAAGCTAGAGTAAGGACCGAGAAGCCTGGTGGTCGGAGAGTGCTAATGAGTTGGAGGCAGCAGCTGCATTTGGTAACTACCGGAAGCTCATCCAACTCATCCGAGTCACTGGCAGCAAAAAGTCTGGTGTGAGCGAAATAATCTGCGAGGATGATGGGATGACAATCGCTAACATCCATCGACGTCTTGGACGATGGGCAGAATTTTTCGAAGGGCAGTTCAACTAGCCTGCTGCTCCGGCAACATCGGTCAGACTGTCCTGCCCTCCATGGCCGGTGACGAATGATCAACCAAATGAGGCGGAAGTCCGCAAGGAACTCCAACTCTTGAAGCGTTACAAATCACCTGGCCCAGATGACTTACCTCCGGCTCTTTTTAAAGATGGTGGTGACTTTTTGACTAAGGAATTGACGATGTTATTTACAAAGGTTTGGGTGTTAGAGAGTGTACCAACGTCATGGAATGAGTCGATGGTTGGCCCTATCTTTAAAAAGGGTTCACGTCGTTCCTGTAACAACTGTCGGGGGATAAGTTTACTTCCAATTGCGTTCAAACTGTTGACTTCTGTCATACTTCGTAGACTGTTCAAAACGCGAGAAAGATTGACTCGCGAGGAGCAGTCTGGGTTTCATTCTGGTAGAGGATGTATTGGTCATATCTTTACCCTCCGCCTAATGTTAGAACACCGTCATACTTATCAAAGGCCAACAATCGCAGTCTTTCTTGACATCAGGGCTGCCTTCGATTCGTTGGATAGGACTGTTCTCTGGGATTGTCTATTGAAGAAGGGTGTGCCTGAGAAGTTTATCATAAAGGCCCTATACACAAACACCTCAGGCAGAGTGAGGGCATACAACCACCTCTCTCCATTGTTCCATTCGAGCAGTGGGGTTAGGCAGGGTTGCCCAATCTCACCATTCCTCTTCAACTTTGCCATCGATGACATTCTGGAAACAGCTCTGATGAATGTAAGTAATGGTGGTGTGGATCTGTTGCCTGGAGAAAGACTTCTCGACCTTGAGTATGCGGACGATATTGTCTTACTGTGCGATAATGCCCAAGGCATGCAATCCGCACTTAATCAGTTGGCAATCAGTGTCCGTAGGTATGGTATGTGCTTTGCACCTTCGAAGTGCAAAGTACTCCTACAAGACTGGCAGGATTCCAATCCTGTACTCACCCTGGATGGTGAACAGATAGACGTAGTCGAGAAGTTTGTGTATCTGGGTAGCTGTATAAGTGCTGGTGGGGGTGTGAGTGATGAGATCAATGCACGAATAGTGAAAGCCAGAGCGGCTTATGCCAATCTGGGCCATCTATGGCGCCTTCGTGATGTTAGTCTGGCTGTAAAAGGCCGGATCTACAACGCGTCGGTGAGAGCAGTTTTGCTCTATGCTTGTGAAACCTGGCCTCTCCGAGTTGAGGATGTTAGACGACTCTCTGTGTTCGGTCATCGCTGTCTCCGAAGGATTCCTGACATTCAGTGGCAACACCATGTCAGTAATGCAGAGGTTCGGCATCGTGTGTTCGGGCACAGAGATGATAATTCAATTGGTGTTACCATCTTGAAACACCGACTTCGGTGGCTTGGATATGTTCTACGAATGTCGTCCCAGAGAATTCCACGTCGTGCATTATTTGCCGACTCTGGGACTGGTTGGAAGAAGCGGAGAGGTGGTCAGTGCATGACATGGTGTCGTGGCATGAAAGAAAGCTGCAAAGGACTGGCGTGTGTTGGTTCTTCACGACTCCCTGGTTGGGGTCTGAGAGATGGTGCTACACAGTGGCTAGAGACGTTATCAGATATGGCTCAGAATAGAAGCCAGTGGCGATCGTGCTGTAACCTTCTTTTACTTTCTTCATAAAAAGTGGTTGTTTCTTCCTTAACCGAGAGATTTCTTCTGATTGTACCTTTTCGTTCCCTTATTATTACTATCATTATTACTACACTATCTTACACTAATCTCTTCGTTATTGTTCTCTTTTTTTACGCTCCTTACCTTCTTTTTTTCTCTTCGAATTCTCATTGTTTTGTGTGGCGCATATATATTGGCGCTCTCGTGTATCAATATTTATGTGTTCAAATAAATAAATCGTTGAAAATTCCGTGAACTGCTAATGACGATTTAATTTGAAGTCTCAGACATATTCCAATCTCCTCCATACCTAAAATCTGACTATATTCTGACGTAAAGAGAATCCATACAGATTAGAACAATAAATTTAGTTATTAATTTATTTTCAGCGTTCAATGAGTCTTCATCCGCCATTCTTTGATGAAATTTTCCTTGGGTCTAATTGTATAATATTGTGTATGGATTTGTAAGGACAGACCACTCACACAAACATTGATACAAATGAAATAAGTCCTCTTCATTCTTTTAAATGCACAACATTCTCAATACATGATACATTGTCTAATCAACGTTCAGTTAAATTATTAAAAAATGTGATTTTTGTTACTAAAGAGGAAAATTAATTTCACATAATAACATATATACTTCCATTTTATCCAGTCACGTAGTATGTTTTATTACTACTCAAAGGGTTTACTTTTCAGCATGACGATGATGATGATGCTTCGGATGATGGTGATGATGATGATGATGATGACAGTAATGTTGATGGCCATATATAGAATGCATTATGTTGCAATTATTATTAAACTTCTCAAAACTATAGACAAAAATTAAAATTATACACAGTAATTCAATATTTTGAATAAATACTCTAGTAGGTTAATAATTTCTCAATAATCATATCTTTATATATTTATTAATTAATTATTAATGATCATCAAACTCCACCTGGAGCCTCTCTTGCTCCACTGCTGGTCTCAAGCCCAGATAAAGAAGGATAGTTGGGCATGAGGTTAGCGAATCCATCCCGTAGAAAACTAACTCTTCAAAAAAAAAGCTCTAACCAGAAAAAATAATTCAAATCAAGTAATGATTACCAGCTAGTTGAAATAAGAGTTGTTCATGTGAATTACATGAGAAGAATAAACAACAATTGGATACAAGTAGAAAGGAAAGCCGACGACTGAGTAGGTTGAAGAATACAGGTCGATGGCCTATACTCCATTAAGAGTAACAAGTGTAAGTAAGTGAGTGTGTGAATTACAGTAGGAACACTAATAAACAATTACAAACAACTAATAATCTCATAGTGATTACAAAAAAATAGCGAGAAAGAAAAAAACGCATTTGTCTATCTTGATGTTATTTCATGAAGCCCAAATAAGATACTATTCAGGAACTTTAATCAAAAATAGATGGAATAGTATTCAAACCTGTAAATATTGAATACCTTAACTACTAAACTACTAATATCTATCATCAATAATATTTACTATCAACTATGATTTCAGAAAACGAAAACAAAAAACTCATTTATTATTTGCTAATCTCTATCATTAGTTAATTCTATATTTGATTATTGTTAAAGTAACAAACATCTAGAAACAAGTGTCTTTAAAAAAAAACAAAAAAAAGAAAACTCTATCGAACAAAACAACACCATAATGTACTCACTCATGAATATTTATATGTTACATAACAATGAATTTCATTGTGATGAAATGATAATAATCAATCATCAAATCGAAAATCAATAACTATCAATATATTTCAGAAAAGAAATATGTATATGTATATATAATTATGAAGAAGAGAAAATAGAGAAAAGTAAGAAAAAGAATAAACATTCATATCCACATTATACCATACTATATATATAGATGTTTAATTCAATATATCAACACATGTTTACATATGATTTAACTATTGGATAATTGAAAAAGAATTCAATTTTTACAAGAATTCTTTTGTTCTGTCATACAAGGAATAACACATACAGCTGTATTAGCATGATGTACAACATAATCACTAACACTTCCCATAATGGTACGTTTTATAGCACCTAAACCACGACTTCCAACAATTATTAAATGTACATTATATTTTTCAGCATTTTGAACAATAGCTGCACCAATATGTTCAACTGGTTCATATAAAAATTGGTATGTTAAATTATGTGCTAAACAATCTGTACTATAATCTTGTTCTAATTCACGTACACGTTTTACATTAGTTTGTACAAGATTTGACCATTCATCACTTGGTATACTAATTGGATTTGATAATGATATAGTTGGTAATGAGACTGGTTCTACAGCATGATAAATTGTTATTGTATCATCTGGTCTTTGTAACCATTTTAAATAATATTGAAATGCTTTTTTTGAATGTTCAGAACCATCTATAGCAATTAAAACAGATCTTGAATTAATTGGAGGTATTTTTGAAAATCCTGATGGTCTTCTATCCATATTTACATGAAATAAATTTTTAAAAAAAAATCCTTTATTTCATTTTAAATATAATTCTAGTTTCTGGGCCTATTTCTTCCACCAATCAAAATTGAATTAAAATAGACTAAAGCTGCAATCCGATTGGATCTTACAAATAAATCCATTTAATTGGTTAGTTGAAATTACCCAATTAAATTGGTTTAAATTTCTTTGTAATATAAGATTATATAATACCTAGAATTGTAAAATCGTTACCAGACATTTTCTACCCCAGCAATACGATTTTTTTGTAAAATTAAATTAAATCAATAAATGAAGTAACTGAATTAAGATAGAATAATATAAATTCATTTTATTTTATTGGGGGGGGGTTGCTAGGGTTGAAGCTATTACGAGTTCACTTAATCTGCGAACAAGAAACAAGACTCAGTGACCAAAGACCAGTAAGCTAGCTACTGATACGTCCCAGCCTTGCTAACTAGAGGGAGAAGTCCAAGCTTGGAATGGGAAAGTATATTCTGCAAAACAGCCAGAAACGAGAGATAACAACAAACATAGTTCAAAACACATATGTACAGTACAATACCGTCCTTGGGGAGAGTTACCAAATAGCATACTAAAAGACGCAACGGACCAATAACATTTAAGATATTTCCCAGTGGAAAATATGACATGAAGGTGACAAGAGCACCTTTGGTGCGAAAACAAAGAAATTTCTAAATAAAATTACAAAATTAGGTCCTTTCCCAAGTGAGTTCTGGGGATCTAACGTCCCCAACAGGGGTTTCTCTCCAGCTCCATACAACGGTCATAATATAACGAACGTATTGACAATTAAACAAATTCGAATACGAATGATTATCTGTATTATATGTATGAATAAACATAGATAAAATCATTTAAAAAATCGATATCGGAAATAGGAAGGGGTCAGATAGTATTGATCAAATCAATTCTATGAAAATGACAGAAAATTAGAAGAGTTTACATAACCCTAAACAAGTGAATTAATGAATGAATGAAAGTTCTGAAGGATTAGAAAGCTGATTTCAAAGTGAATGAAATAACAGTTAGCTAAGCGAAGATGAATAATAAAAAAAATACAAACGTTAATTATAATATTAGCATAGGGAATATAGGAATGTTTCATTGTTTAAATTGCCAATTGATCTTAGACTACAATTGAAAACGTGAGAGCATTGAACAGTTGTTCTGTCCAACAATCTCCGTAAGTCCCCTTGTAATAGTGATAATAATCTAGTAATCGTTAGTGACTGGCTTCAGGATGCCAGTCATTGCGTTCTTGAAAGGTGTGAGATATTTATCCACTGTACACAATGAATGAGGGTTGCTCAGTATATTGTGAATTGAATGGAGTTTGACATGTATGCCGTTAGATGCCAGTTTATTGGTTCAGAGACTAATTATCTATCTGCGATACAGAAGGCTTACAGCTCGATTCCTTGTACCGCGGTCATGAACGCTCACTTTTGAGGAGTCTTTTACTACGGCATAACGGTTATTCAATGTTTCTGGTTCTTTTACTATTGATCTAGTAAGATGAGTTAGTGATTTTAAACTATGAAATTAATAGTAATAATAATAATTATAAATGAACATGATTTTTATCATTATCATGCTTTTACTGCAACAGTGATAAATTGACACTCGTCTCTTTCTGAATTCATAAATTAAGATCAGTTTTCTTTATAACAAATACATCACTAAAACCTTAAAAGTAACTTTTCTGCATGTTGGTTATCTGGAATAATTTATGGACATCAAGGATGTCCCCACTGTCAATTAAATGCCAAATTACTGAAGAATTCAAGGCTGTAGTATTGTCAGGGATGCAGATTAATATACCAATCATTATCATGTTAAGTCTAATGATGTCCTTGGACTTTAAATGAACATTTCCTATTGGCCATTATTTATTTCACTCGTTAAATATTGTACAGATGTTGTTTTCTATTTTCACGGTACGATGTGATCTGCTTGGTTGGTATATAAATAGAGTATGTTTGAAATATAACGATTCATAACTCAGAGGCTGAGACTTACGTTATGGACTCAACTGGCTGGGGTAGACAACGAAGCAGGGCCAATCGGGACTCTAGGTCGTTCATTACGTGTTTACGTGTTACTGTAGTCGATTGATAAAACACTGCTCCATCTTAACTGCAATCCACACGTTACAACAAATATCTTTTAATATTGAATTTTTTTTAAAAACGTTTTAGGGAATACGAGCATTCACTTTCCCATTTGTTCTGGGACTATACGCGCTTCGATATATGATAAACTTTTAACTAACGAAGCTAAAATATGTGTGAAGAGACACCATTCTACTGTAAATATGTAATGGACATAAATTCTGATGCAGTAAAACACCAAAGCAATAAGCCGTACTAGTGAATTGGTAATATTTTGACGAAATAAAGGATAGAAAGATCTTGTAATCAATAAATAGACGAACAACAACTTAACTTAATGGACGATGTAGTTCACATAAAAATACAGTAATAAAAATCTTCTTCCAGCTAAGACAGTTCATCTCAATTCATTAAGTTGGGTAACCTCTAGAATTCCAAATGGAAAGTTGTTCTGAACTACCTTTCCGCTACTTCCCCTACTCTCAGCATTGACATTTAATGCATTAAGTTGGAACCGCTTGAATAGAAGCCACAAAGATTTGTCAGATTTTCTAAGTTGCTGACATCAGATGGGTTATTGTCAGTGTACGCGAACACACGTTGCTCAACCTCAACATCAAAAAATTTGGTGTAATCAAAAGTCGTCAACAATCCTTCGAGGAAAACTGTGACCGAATACAGCAAGTTCCACAACATATTTAGCTTATAAAAGTTATTTTTCACAAGTATAGTACAGTTTTATCTCCACTGAAGCGCTTAAAACACAACCGTTTTCACCTATACTAACATCAAGACAGCTTCAAAAATGGCCTAGATTGATATAAGCCTCTTTATGAAGTATTTCAAATGGTATCCTCCAACTTTAGTTGACCTGCAAAATAGACTGAATCATGAAACATCACCCGATTTCCTCTTTCTAGTTAGAGGTACCGAAACTGACACAATCGGGGGTCGAACCCCAGGACTTCAAGAACCCACAGCGGACTTGGTACTACCGAAGGCATATAGTTGAAGTATATTGTTCAGACCAACTAATAGCGTACCACGAAGAAAATGACACAAACGAACAAGAACAGTGTGATAATAATGATAATTTCACACTATAAATGTATGTTTCAGTTCTAGTGAAATCAATGTTCTCTGAATATAGAGTTTAAAGTTAAAACTGTTTGTCATATCATTATAAAGTTGTGAAGATTGTTGAGTTTGAATTGATATCATGAACTGATAATTATCAAGTTCTCACTAGTGACTGGCTTCGAAGTAAATTTCCTGAAGTTCTAGTGAGAAGCTGTGACCAGTACAGTTCAACCGTGTCTGTTGTGAGGCAGTTACTCACTGAAGACAATGGTGGACAGTTGTACAATATTGTGGATTGATTCAAGTTAGACATTAACACTGTTGGATGCTGGCTCTGTAGCATCTAGATGTTAAGCGTTTACACGCGTTCGAGTAGTCGGTGCAGAATCATAGATGCGCACTGCTGAAGAATCCTGTAACAGATAGAAAAAGCCATCCAGTGTTTCCATGTTTTTCCATATGTTAATTTCATTCACTGATCAACTATAAATACTTATATCCTATAATCATTTACTATTTCAAATAAGTGTTAATCATGATTAGTTTGTAAGTTTGTTTGTTCGTTTGTGTGTGTGTACGTGTGTGTGTGTGTATAGTCATATTTCGTATTTATGCTTATTAACCAAAAGGATAATTACAACAACAAAAATGTACTGAATTATTTTTCTGTTATTGTAAACATCCGATTAGAAAATGTACTTTCTTATATGATCCGAGTTAACTGTGAATTATCCCCTACTTATCTATTTGGATTATGATAACATTGATTTTTAGGACAAAATTTTATGTACTTTACTAATCAGTAGAGTGTAAGAGTTTAGTAGGATAGAAAGAAAAAAAGAGATTAGGTGTATACAAAAATGAAATACATTGGATAGTCATAAAATATCATAGTTTAATACTTTAAAATAAATATTGATCATTTAATATTGATTGACTGTAGGGATCAATCGTGTACCGAACAAATCCCAACAATACGGATCATTGTGGAACAATCAATTGAATGGAATTCATCACTCTACATCAACTTCATTAACTACGAGAAAAGCATTTGATAGCGTGGATAGGATAACACTGTGGAAGATTCTTCGACACTATAGCGTGTCTAAGAAGACAGTCAAAATCATAACGAATTCCTATGATGGATTAAACTGCAAAATCATGTATGGAGGACAATTGACAGGCTCGTTCGAAGTAAAGACCGGTGTCAAGCAAGGTTGCTTATTCTCACCCTTTCTCTTTCTCCTGGTGTTTGACTGAATCATGAAGACGTCAACATCTGGGGAGAAGCATGGAATACGGTGAGCGGCTAGAATGCAGCTGGACAATCTAGACATCACAGATGATCGGGCTATTCTATCGTACACGCAACAACAAATTCAGGACAAGACGACCAGTGTAGCAGCAGCCTCAGCAGCAGTAGGTTTCCATATACACAAAGGTAAAAGCAAGATTCTCCGATACAACACAACAAGCACCAATCCAGTCACATTTGATGGATAGGCTTTGGAAGATGTAAAAACCTTTACATATCTGGGCAGCATCATTGATGAACATGGTGGATCTGATGCAGATGTGAATATGCGGATAGGCAAAGCAAGAGCAGCATATTTACAACTGAGGAACAACTGGAACTAAAAGTTACAACACCAAAGTCACAATTTTCAATTCAAATGTCAAGATAGTTCTACTGTCACTGGGGCAAAAACTTGGAGATCTACGAAAGCCATCAATCAGAAGATACAAGTGTTTATTAACAGTTGTCTATGCAAAATACTTCGG